TGAGACCAAATTGAATCTAACACACAAATGGTCACTCTCTCTCTCTCTCTCTCTCTCTCTCTCTCTCTCTCTCTCTCTCTCTCTGAACATATATGTATATATACCCCCTCCCTCCCCCTTTACTTTCTTTTCTCTCTAATTATTCATAAAAAAAAAATTAATCATAACATATATCAAATGCCTTTTTATATATTATATTATCTATATATATATATATAATTTTAATATTTACCGATGTATGCGACAAAATATATTTCATCAACATAGATTTCTTTTTGTTCACATTTTCTTCTTTGTCAAGACCATAATTCATTCCCATGACCAATGAATCCATAAGTTTACCTTCCCACATATTCCAAAGCCATTGAGGTGTATAACACAAAATTGCCTAAAAAAGAAAAAAATTAAATAGAAAATAATTAGATGAATTAAATAAATAGAAAACAAATGAATACGTGAAAGATTGCGAAAAGAAAGGTGAAGAATAAAAGATTAAAAAAAAAAAAAAAAATGTAACACGCGTTCTATAAATCAAATAGAACACAGCAGGTTGTAAGAAACTTGATGTGTCACTTTATAAACAGATGTCGATTGAATCTATAATAAGAAATTGTAAGAGAGAGAGGATACATAAATCCACGCTGTACAAAGGACGTATCATAATATGATACGATCAGATGCATTTAATTGTAAGTCTATATTATTTCTTATCGCAACTTATACCGTAGGTCGCACGTGTAGGATTCAATGATAAAGAAGTCATTACCTGGAAGAATAGTATGAAGCAAACCCATTGGTAATAAGGATAGTATTTTCTTGCTTTTACATCTCCAAAGTCATTCGCCACTCCTGGATGTGCCACCTCTTTGCCAACCTATGGACATATGACACTTCAATAATAGGATGACAATGATATCATATACTTGCATATCAACGACGAATTTAATACACGATACCAAATATGCTCTCTCACTTTGACTACATTAGAAATCATATATCTGTATATTCAACTTACTATAATTATATACTTTTATCTCTTTCTCTTTCTAATCTCTTATCTCAAAAGTTTATAATTGCAAATCAAATTACATCTTTTTCTTTATTTAACTCGATAAATCAGTATTTTATAATACAATTAATTTAGATTGCATTTATTAAACAATTCAAATAGAATTCAAAACGGAATATAAATGAAATCATTTTTTTATTATATTACTATTATTATATATAAATATAATTATGCATTATTTGTATATTAAATTCAATTTAATATACAAATACCACACACACATTAGTTATTATATTATATAATATAATATAAATATATAAATAACATATATTATATAAATATAATTATATAATTAATTATATAATATTATTAATATAATTAAATTATAAAATAAATTATATAAATAATTTTATAATATAAATATAATTATATTTTATTAATAAATAACTAAATTATGTATTATGCATATATATATATATGTATAATAAAATACTGAAATTATATTGAACCATAGTAGTATTAGTAGTAGTATGTATATGTTAAGTATAGTAGTAGTATATATATATATGTATAATAAAATACTGAAATTATATTGAACCATAGTAGTATTAGTAGTAGTATGTATATGTTAAGTATAGTAGTAGTATATATATATATGTATAATAAAATACTGAAATTGTGTTGAACCATAGAAGTATTAGTAATAGTAGTTTATGCAAGACTGTGGTAAATTTCACAACATTTGCTGCAATTTTTCGTTAGTCCCTTCCCACCCCCCCCACCCTCATCACCCATTCTGCACTTAAGCTCGTTGATAGACACCACAGTGTTTCGTCTATTTTCATCGAGTTTACGCAGACTGTTTTTATAGACGTTTTTCTTTTTTTTTAGCCGATCCCAAGAAGACAAAAAATAAAAAAGTAGTCTGGAGGAGAGAGAGGTTTAATGACCTAAACGACCACAATCTACCCGAGAAATTATACGGTTTCCTAAAACAAAATAAAAAAAAAAAACAAAAAAGAAATACTTCTTGCAACATAAGTATCGTGGAATTTTATTGAGTTATGGTGTAACCCGTTTTACTGTAATTGTTTGTTCATTTTTCAAATAAATTCCTAAAAAAAGTATTAATTGAGTTTTAAGTTGTTTTACACAAATGTATTAACAATCAGAATGACTGGTATTTTATAGAAATAAATAAATGTAAATTGATAAACAAAATCAGGATAATGTGTATGTGTTTATAAATCTTTAGATATATACACTAGCTATGAAATTGACCGGAAACGAATAAGTGGACCTTAATATTCCTCTTCATATGTGAATGTGTAAACATTATACATGTATTATACAGTAAAAGAATACAAGAGGGGGTTCTTGACCATTAAAGATACAACAATGTCGGCGTCCCTTTGTTTTATGCACTACTCAGATATGAGATTCGTCATACACACTGAGAACGAATTAAAAGATGTTGAGTAAGATTCAATGTTCCAAGAAGATCATCTCCGATTATTATTTTTATTGGTTACTTCAGAAGAAGAGAAGTGTAATATAATAAGAAATATAAGAGAAAGAGAGAGAGAGAAAAGAAAAAAAAAATGAATCGTAAAACAAATCCTTTCGCGTACCAATGCAACTAAATATTTTCTTTCTAACTATCATCTATCTTTCTAGAAAATAATTGTCCAATTTAATTAACACTAGATTTACGAATTGAGCCAATTTGACTCATTGAACATTTGATTATTTTATATATTTATAAAATTTAAATACTATTTTTTGAAAACTTATTGGTTTTTAGTTACGTAATGAAATATACGTAAATATTAGTTCAATTCCTTTACTCAATCCTTTATTCAAACAATGTTATTACGTCATTAAAAAATAATGAACAAAACATCCGTAAATCTAGTGTTAATAGAAAAATGAATTTATAATTTTGTAAAGTCTGTGTGTTGACTGCATTGCTGCAAAGAAAAGAAGAGAAACACCGAACACAAGTCAACCATGTGGGAGACAAAAGAGAATCGTAAGCGTTGAATAAGATAATCTGTTTTTTTTTTCTTCCCTTTCCTTTGACCGACTTTCTGTAAACATATCGCGCCTGTTTTTAAACAAATCGTTGAGAAAGGGAAATGGGGAGGAGGAGGAGGAGGAGGGCTAGAACAAAATATGATTATCCGTATGGTAAACGATAAAAATCTTTTGCGAAATAATTAAATGATATATAATGAGACACAACGTCGTTATGATGAGGTAAGTATACACATACATACATAATATATATGTATGTTATGTATTTGAAAGTAAATTTTTTCTATACAAGACCCGCGCCATAGTTTTTTGTCATGGTGCCTACATAGCGGAACGACAAAGATAACGTGAGAAAAAAAACACGTGTGTGTATGTATGTGTGTGTTTATCGCAGGGTTTGAAGACATTTTTTTGTGATAATTTCTTCCATATTTTCTGTACAAGACCAAATAGAAATAGATAATGTTTATGGAAACTGAGAACGTATAGAGTACAAGTACTGCACAAGACAAAATAGTGATAGATAATAATATGTTTATGGAAAATAAATAATAACTATGTTTCGATCGAAACAAGGAATTATTTGTTAATTAAAAAAAAATAAAAAGATTTTTCGTTAAACATTCGTCGATTATTTTCTACCCTAAAAATCCCATAAACTCATTTGTATACTTTGTATAATGCATATCGAGTGTGAACACGTGAATTGAAAAGAAGTTTTGAATGTAATATTAAAAACTTTACATTTGTTTAAAAAATATAATAACAAAAGATCCTTTCTAAAGTTAAAATATGATACTATCGAAGGAGACCTTCATGATTTTGCATCGATTCCAGATATATGTGTAAATGATATATATCCAATAACGCAAGTAACAACCCCTTAGAAAAAGTATCGATAATCTCGCGGTTGTCGATACTATTGCAATCAGTAATTGTATCGTAAAAGTAATTGAATTCGATCTTATGATATATATCGATTGACACGAATCGATTTGATAAATCTCTAAAATAAATAGGTGGTCTAGATTTGAAAAGTAAACTGATTGACGTAAGAACGTTTTTAATGAATGATTCGTAAGAGAAATAATACTGATGTATATTAGTATTATGATATATATATCATACGTGAATATTATAAATGGCGTTACTTATAGAATAATATCATTCAACCGTTGAACCCATTTATTGGGTTGTTAAACGATTCAATTTAACCAAAGACTTCTTCTCTTTTCATTGATAACCAAAAGCCTTGATAAGGATTAATGCTACCAAGAGAAATTTATGAAAAGAAAACAAACCTAGAAAATATCCGAAGAAAGGAAGACCTTTCTAGTGTAAACAAAATGGCGCGAATTTTTGATTAAAAATAAAAAAAGAAAATGAGTAAGATAATACGAGATAAAAAGACAAGGGATAAATATTGGGATAGGTAGGAAAATAAAAAAAAAAGTACATTTACCTGTCGATTGAACGCATCCGGCATAGTAAACGTTGATGTTATCCAGCAGTAAGTGTTGATCACATGTTGGGGTAGGCTACTGTCCACGATACAGGAGATTGGATTTCCAACATATTGGTTTGCAGTGATTATTAATGAGAATGCCAGAAGCACCACAGCTGTAAAATTGTTGTGCAGTCGGAAGATCAAAGAACCGGTAGAAATTTCTTGCCATTTCAGGTAATAGGCAAGACCACCCAATAGTCTTAACATGATTGCTTTGTTTTCTTTTTCTTCGTTGATTTATATATATATGTATATATAATATTTTTGTAATCAAATATTCAATTCTTCTTTTTCTTCTTCTTCTTATCTTTCCTTTATAATAAAGGACGTAACAGAGAAAATTGTGAAAAAAATATTGATTGATAAAAATGTCGTTTCGATTCAGAATACAACGACAATCCTTCGTCAACGGCCACTGTTAAGTGTGTAGTGGGCACAATTTTAAGTAAATACTATTTCTTCTCGAAATGTGAACCGACAAATGACGATCCTTTTGCCCCTCTTCGTGACCCCCACCCTCTAGCTATATGCGCTGCCCTTCACCACGCTTGAACGCGTCCTCCTCCTCCTCTTCTTCTTCTTCTTCTTCTTCTTCTTGTTCTTCCTCCTCTTCTACTTCCGTTTTTTCTTGCTCGTTCGTTTGCTCGATACAAACCACCAGAGCAACGAGTGATAAACTAAGATGACAATAAGGTGAATTAAAACGAGTACGCGCGAATCAAATGAAATAGAGAGAATGAAGAGAACGAAGTGAAGTTCAACGAACGTAAAATGAAACGGAAAATAAAATAAAAAGAGAAACAACCTAGGTTGACTAGCAACACACAACCACCACTCGTGGGACGCACAACCGACGGTCTCGATACGAATCGGGACTAGTTTGCCCTTACCGATGCATTTTTCGAACACGTGTTGAGCTGCGCACGACTCTACCCGAATACAACCGAGTTCTACCGAAAACAACCGAACTTAAGTTTATGGCGCGCGAAACAGAAAGGACTCTCCTTCTCCTTTTCTTTTTAATTACTTTTTCCCTTCTTTTCTTTACAAAAAAAAAAAAATCAAACAAAACAAAATGAAACGTTCTATTCCTTAGTCTTTCTAGAAATTCATATATCTTTTCTTTATTTATCAAATTTATTAAACATGTAGATAAAAGCAACAGGAAACTGTTCTTAACTATCGATACTCGTTTATCTATCGTTCCTACTCCTCCCTCTTCCCATTTTTCTTCCCTTTTCAAGGTTCTGAACTATCCCCTCTCATCTTTCTTTCTCCCTCTCTTTCTCTCTCTCTCTCTCTCTCTCTCTCTATCTCCCCCCCATAAAGAGACTTTACCTTTAAATTCTTTCTCTTTCCGTATCCCCCATTTTCCACTTTCTCTTGTTCTTCCTTCTCCTCCACCTCTTCTTCTTCTTTTTCTTCTTTCTTCACTCGGATCAAACGAGAATCGTGTTGAATCCTTTTGAACGTAACCGACAAGTTACGTTGTTACATACATAGGCGTAGAAAAACGATGTGGAAAATGATTGCATACGTGCATACATGTATGTGTGTGAGTGTGTGGTAGTATCAACGCGTTTCAACTTCGATTCTTCTTTTAATTCTGTTCGTATAGGTCGTCGTCGTCGTAAATATACGCACGTAATACGCGTAGCAAGCAGTACACTCGAACACCGACTGACGATGAGAACACCGCAATGGTTTGTTGTTTCTCCTCGAAAAAGGGGGAAGGGGAAAATCGGTAGCACAAGAGGGGCTCGGGCTGCGGATGCCGGGTGCTGCTCGTTGTACTTACTCGGAGGGGGAGAACACAACCAAAGAGAAAAAGAGAGGGGTATAAGTACAATACGAAGAGGGGACCAGATGTGATCTCTCCCACCTCGTCTACATATTTTTTAACTCTCATACAATATGATGCATGTATGTGTATATCATCCTCTTTCTCTCTTTCTCTCTCTCTCTCTCTCTCATTTTTCTCATTTTTCTCTCCCTTCTCTTCTCTTTCTTTTTTGCTACCAGTTACATACTACACACACACACATACATATAGAGTACTACGTGTGTCACTCTCAACATGCTTTATTATTACCGTTAGATCTAACTTTCGTTCTTCATGTCACGAGTTTTCTATCTTGCTTGTTGTATATCATCGATAAAGGGCTTTTTGCTTGAGTCCTATGTTACAATAGTAAAAAATGGAGTCAACGATCGTTACGCTTCATTGGTGATTTCAACGATTGGGTAGATCATACGTTGCGCTGATTATACGATAAACTGTATAGTATGAGTTTTATTACGAGTGTATGAAGAATCCTTTCATGATTGTAGACTTAAGAGCCCTTATGTACCTTTTTTGATCCTGATCTATCATTTTTGAAAATTATTATATTATTAATTAATGATTTGTTTTCAATTTTATAATTTCAGGTTTGTTTAAGAGATATCTATCATTATATTTATATATTTTTTTTGTAGTTTTAATATAATTTAAAATAATATAATTAAATTACATTAGAGTAAATTGATTTTTAATGACAAAGAAAATAAATAAAAATAATTGAAAGAATAATTAGAATCATACCGATGATCGTAGCAAATGAAGTTGGTGCTGCCAGCTATCGAACGCATATAACATTACAGTGTACATGAAAAAAAAAAAAAGTAATATTAAGCTTTTTATTTAAACAATTATTTATTTTCTTACAGTTTTTCTTTTTTCTATATTCGAAGTTAGAAATAATTTTAAACGATCGTAGATAGTCGGATAAGTTCTAAAGAATTTTCTTAGAAAATTTTCAAAGATAGAAAACCATAGGAACGATAAAATTTCTATGGGAGGGGGGGGGGAAATATCACGAAGGGAGTCTGGCAACTTAAAACCCCTTTATGTACAAAATAGATGAGAAACACATGTGTTACTATATATATATATATATATATATATATTTCTTTCAGATATAGAAAACCGTCCAGTCAAGTTTTTCTGTCTCCTAAAAGAAATAAGATTATACTGATCGATTCAAAAAAATTCCTATTCATATACCCATAAAAATGAATCCTAGAAAATCCATGAGATCTATCATTGTATAAAAAATTGAACGAATAACACTAAAGTATTTTATTTTTCTGAAAAGAAAATTCCTTTCATCCTTAGATTTGATTAATGTCTTTTATTTGAAAAAAGATAGAATTGTAATCCTAATTCTTCCTTTTAGTGACCTGCTATTTGTTGAAATCTTATTCGAAGGCCCTTTCCTTGAAAGAAAAAATATTTTTTTTTGGAAAGTTTCTTTCGAGAAACTACAAAAATTCCGTCCCTTTTTTCTTTATCTCTCTTTCTGTCGGTTTCTTTTTTATTTATCTTTGGTCTCCTTGAAATGCATGGTCAGATACCGTCGACGAACACCGTAAAGTAGTCTCACTGTAGTTTTACTTTCTACTGCAGTTATAAGTCTCTTTTTACATTACTTTTTTTTTTTTTTATTTGAACATACCATATAAGGTACTAGAATACCAGATAATCGTGGGTACAGCGAAATGACTATGACTAACATCCATTACACTTGTAGAAAAATCTTGATTACTTTACATTCTTCAGATTATTCCACAGATTACGAGCTTTAAGTCATCGCAAAATTTTCAAATGTCCTATTCATCTTTAAAACTTTGAGTCATGAATGTAAATGCATTCGAGATATAATGTGAAATCATAGTGAACAAAAAAAAAATCAATTCCATTAGCCCGCATCCTGCTTCCGTTACGCGACGTTAAGTTTTTTTTTTTTTTTATATATATGTGTTAAAGTGTGTTAAATATGTATACGATACGTCACACCTATTGTTTATATTATTATTACTTTTTTATATGGTTGTGTCTTCGTTATTCTCTGTTAAAATAATCATTCATAAAATACATTTGTGTTTTTGTAGAGTATGAAATCAAAATGAGATTGAGAGTGTAATATTCTAAGTTTATAGTGTGAAATAGGAAAAATTATATGTTGTATTAATACTAATAGTATAATAATTTATATAATATAATAATATATATTATATAATAATTTTATAATAAATATTATTAAAAAATAATTAAATTAAAATTAAATATTAATATTATATATATATATATAATACTAATATAAAATAATTAAATTAAAATTAAATAATATTACTATTATAATATTATTATATAAATATTAATAAATATATAAAAATTAATTAAAAATATATATAAAAAAAAAATTAATAATTAAATAAAATAATTAATAAAATTAAAATAAAATACAATAATTAATATTTATGTTATTTTTATATAATAATATATATATATATATATATATATATAGATGTATGATGAAATTGTAAATGTTTCTTTGAAAACTCAAGGCGAGTTCTTGGCTACCTACGTCGCTGCATATGTTAATGTTCCTGCGTCCTCTTCACCGTACCAGAAGCGGTTCACGGACCAGATGTGCAACATGATGCAACCAACAGTTGTAACTTCTGCTTCGACAGAGCAACGCGATACTACATAGCCAGTCCATGATGCTTTTCCTCGACTGTCTACTATAATATCTTGACAGTTACGATGATATCCGTCTTCCTCTTTTTCTTCTCTTTTTTTTTTTTCTTCTTCTTAGCAAGGACAATTTCAAATATGGTAAGAAACGTTGAGACTCGTTTAAACTTTCTCGAGAACGATTTGTTTGAGTTTAAATATTAGTAAACGTTGATACCTAAAATAAATATTCAACATCGATAATAATTTGGAAAAAAATATTTTTTTATGATAGAAAATATTTTATATTAAATTTAAAAAAAAATATATATATATANNTATATATATATATATATATATCTTATCAAACAGTTTGCATTATATTTTATGACAGATTATAATCGAACTTTCTTTAACCTTATTATTTTATAAGATAACGGAACTGTCATCTTATACCGTCCACCCATACATACACTCACTTAGATCAAGTTTAATTATAAGATGTAACACAAAACTATAAAATTCAATTAAGAATTATTCCTATATAGAAAATGATTATTTTATTAGAAAATAATTGATATTAAAGTACATTAATTAATTTGAAAAAATTCCTATATTTATAATTATCATCTTTATCAAAATGATTTTGAAACGAGATGCTACTTAATTCCCCATTAACAATAAACACCAATATTAATCAATCATAGATTTATATGAGTAAGTAAAAATATCTGTTATTTGATGATATCAAAACTTTATGTGAATTTTCTATCAACAAAATCTATTTATAATCATACCGATGGTGAGATGAACGATATAAAAAAAAGTCGATGAACGAAACACATCATCTACGACGCGTCCTACGTTCCCCCACTGTGAAAACTGTTCACTGTCGCATGTTCATACACACTAACTCATTCGTTCGCGTGATTGTATATTCTACGTCCTTAGACACAATTATCTTAATTAGAACCCGCTTATGGTCAACGACAATGAACCGGTTGTGACGTACCGGTTCTACCGAAAAAATTGCTCTTTCCTCTTTGACTATCAAAACATCTAATTTCATACAATTGTATTATAAAATATATCAATAGATACTAGATTTCTATTCAGATAAGCTTATTTTCAAATCTAGTCAAAAGACATCGATCATTTTATCACCTACCTCGAAGTGTTAATTTTAACAATTTACCTACACCGTTAGAAGAAAAAAAAATATATGTATATAAGTGATACTAAAACAAGTGGCATGAATAATTCTTAACTATCATTATTCTCGGAACTTATGAATGTGTAAATAGTTTGAACGTTTGTAGTGATTTAACTAGAATCCTCGAAAACGTTGATTGATTTTTAATGTGAAAGTCATCCTTACACATTCGTCCTCGTTAACAATTTTTCTCTTATTTATTACCCACACGGTATATTTAAAAATTACTGAGAAAATGATTATAGTAATATGTATGTGTATGTATGTATGTGTAATAATGACATTAAATAATCATTTGTTGTTTCCTTTATATCTATATAATCAACAAATACCATTTATACGAGTGATAGTATTAAACGAAATAGAAAGTTATTTCTAAAAAAAAAAAAAAAATAAAAATAAAAAATCACTTACCATTAGATACAAGCTGTTATTATATATTTATTATAAATTATGATCACGCGTTAAATTTCATAGCGTTATTCTAAGAGTAATACGCGTGTGCACTGATCTTTGGAATGTACTTGTTAGACCTGGTCAAACCGGTTGTATGTTGGACTGGACAAGTTGAGAACCACTGCGGGTCAATCGTGTCAATTGTGACGAATGTATGTCGAGTCTGTGGATGGGTTCTTCTCTGTTAGACCTCCTCCTGTACCTTATTCAAATCCTTGCCTTGAAAATAATCGAAAATATTTTCTATCAATGATAATTCATAATCTCATTATTTTAAAAACAAATAAGAAAATTATTTAGTAAAGTAATAATTAAAGTAACTGAAGAAGATTGTTTTTTTTATTAAACAATAAATAATAATATTATATAAATACATAATTTATTAATAATATATATTAATATAAATTTTATATATAAATTAAATAAAATATTATATTTTATTATATAAATATATTTATATATAATTTATTATCATTAGGGGGACCGCGCGCGAAAAGTAATGGCCGTTACTACGCATGTCAAATTATTTTTAATATTTTTTAAATGAAAAAATTGATTGATGATTTTTATCATTATGATAATAAAAATTTGCATACCAGATAAAAAAAGGTTCTTGATAACGTGATTAATTAATTTAATTATTGATTAATAATAAAAACTTGTTTGAAAAATTGATTTGTTTGAATTTTGAAGTTAAAAAGTGACATTACTTTTCAGTCCACCTAATGTATAAATATATATATGTAATTATTTATAAATAAATATAATAATATTAAATAAAGATAAAAATGGTTACGTTAAAGTAACACTTTTCATGTTACGAGATATGCATAATCGTTTACGAATTGAAAAATTCTACATTGTTTGTGATAAAAAATTGATAACGACAAATATAATGAGACGAACTTTTCCAGTCGTATTATCAACGTTTAACGGAGATGCATTCATAGAAGAGCAGAGTACATCTGCCGTCCTACTTACGACGTGAAATAATAACCGGTCGCAATAGTAAACTTTACGAGACATAACTCGTAATCCGGTTGTGTTGTCAGTATACTCATAATATCATTGGTAAAAGAATCTTTGGATAATCTGACGTTGATATATACATAAACTATTAAAAAAATCTTAACATACAAATCGTAATAATTTCAATAGAAAATTTACAAAAAAAAAAAAAAATTGAATTTCGTTTAGACAAAACCACCCACCCCTTAAAACTGGCCACTGCTCTAACTCGTTTCTCTTTTGAACGAATGGAATCTCTCGCCAGAGAGAAAGAAAGAAAGAGAAAGAGAAAGAGAACGTATATATAAGTATAGTTTCGGAGATAAATTTTCAAACCGGTTTTTTACGTTCTACCACAAGAGTAGCACGGGCCCAACAAACTTCTTGAACGGACTCTGGACTATGGGAAGAGAAAAGAAACATTTTTTTTTTTTTGTTAAAAATATGCGACACAAAATATATACTCAAAAAGAAATACAATAAATTTATAGGTATATATATATAAATTATTTTCAAATTCAAACTAACGAATCATTTTTTTATCTACACCTTCTTTTTTTATCTCGAAGAAAACTGAAAGGTAAAATATCTGTTTTTTTTTTTTGGTATTCGAAGGAGAACCGATGTCTCGTTCAGATAATATTTCCAATTCTTCAAGTCTTCTCACGAACTTTAACAGAAAGTTCATCGTAAACGAGTAGAAGAAATACCGGGTAATACACCTTTGATATTTTACCAAATAATAAATGATTATTTTCACAAACATTATATGATAAATAATTCATCGTTAATAATATCATTCATTTAATGATATCAAAAAAAAAAAAGAAAAAAAAAATAAAAGAGAAGAATTCCTTTAAAAAAATTCAAACGAGAAGTTCCTGTTCTTTCGAGTAGGCCGCTGCCGATACGAATGAAACTTAACATTAGTATGCATAGTGAGTGCATATACGAGCTGTTGGAATCACAAAGGAAGCTGGAGTGGAACAAAGAAAGAAAGGAGAGACTCCCGATCAAAGACAGAAGGATTGCTCAGAAATGGCGCCTTACACGAACATTCGAACAAATCGAGAATAATAATTTTGAAAGTTCGTCGACTTATCTTTACTTTTATTTATTTATTTTTCATTTTTTTTTTTGTTTTTTTTCTATCAAACACCTACATTTTCCATATATTTTATTATTATTTATTTTGTACAATTGTTTATTTCTTTTTTATTCAAGTGATAACATTTACATATATTATTACATCATCCTCCAATAGAATTACGAATTGGAAAATGCATTTTCTACCTGAGAGGAGAAAAAGAAGGAAAAGAAATAAAAGAATTTTTGGAACAAATACTTTGGTCAGAAATGAGAGAACAATGTTAAACCCTCAACAAAGGGATGTTGTGATGGTGGTAATTCTGTAGGAGGGAGGAAAAACTAACTGAAACGAAAATATATCCAGCTGAGTTTGGAGACTTATTCTTTCTAGCATCCTCTCTACGAGAGATAGTAGTCCCAACTTCCACAGACTATGACTAAAGCCGGTCTTTGTTCGAGGGACCACCGAGATACGGCCCACGCGAGCCTTTCGTATGAATAATACCTGAACTCGTGAGACCCAACTGTGTAGAGAGTCAAGGGACTTTGAGTTACAGTTACATATATTCTCTCGTCTACGCGTATATTCTTATACACTATTATATATTTACTTTGTTTTATATTATATATAACGCAACTCACAAAGTGAACTTTAAATATATAATAAACTTTTACAAATATTCTACATATATATATATGTAGATAGAATATTTGTAATATATTACAAATAATATAGTTTATTCTTTAAGTTACTAATTGAATTTTATTTTTAAGTTTACTACTTTAATTATTAATAATATACTATAATATACTCTATACTATATTAATATACTATAATAAATAATATATTATAAGTATACTTAGTATACTAAAAGTATAGAGTTTTGAACTATTACTATATATATATTATAATGTAACTAAAAGTGAACTTTAATATATTATACAGTATAATATAATATATTGACTATAATATATATTTATATAGTATATATTATATATTATATATATTATAGTATATTAAAATATTTTATAATGCAACTAAAAGTGAACTTTAATATATTATATAGTATAATATAATATATTAACTATAATATATACTCTTATATAGTATATATTATATATTATATAGATTATATTATATATTATTATTGTATTATATAGGTATATATATATATATATATATATATATATATATATTATAGTATATAATATATACTTATATAGAGTATACTTATTATACTAAAAGTATTGAGTTTT